GGCTGTTGAAGCCACCCAGTGCATGTTTGCTGTGCCTGCTCATACAGGGAATGTAGACACTGAATTGGGCTTGTCCTTCGGAGTTGTTTCCTTCTTTCGCTTTTGTTATTGTTTAACAAATAGGGAAAATCAGAAAACTTCCAAAGAAACTATCCTGAACTAAATCTTTGTGTGCCCTAATGTAGGTGGTATAAATCAAATAAATTTAATTAAAGAGTTTGAATTAGTAGAATCGAGAAAAGGAAGCCAACTAATTTTAAAATGTGTCCTTTTCCTGACTATAGAAAGCTTTTATTACCCGTGATCTGGCACCAAAAACTTTCTCGGAAAGGAAATAAACAATGCTGCTTTGTTCAAACGAGTCTTTTAAAATGGACTGTAACTGTAATGACTAAAGTATGGGTACCGTTCAGTTTAATTTATGAATAACTTTACATACATTTGTTCATGTATTGTTAGTCACAGCTCTGATTTCTGAAATGTGCCTGTGTGTTTTAAAACCCACCTGAGGGAAAGATCCTGCTGAGGTCTTGGAGTTCCATTGGTAGCTGCAGTCAGCCTAAGACTTAACTGTAAAACAGTAATACTTATACTGCACATGCTCATTGTTAAACAAAGGAAAAATTCCCTTAACATTTTTCGAAGGTATTAATTTGAAGACACTGCTAGAGTGAGAGAGAGAGCATGAAAGCAATTGTGAGAGAGAAAGAGATCTTTGATCTGATTCCCAGGTGGCTGTAACAGCTGGGGCCTGGCCAGGCCAAGGAAGGAGCCTGGAGCTCCATCTGGGTCTTCCCCAGGGCTGAAAGGGACCAAGGCACGTGGGCCATCTGCCATTGTTTTCCCAGGTGTATTAGCAAGGAGCTGGATCTGAAGTGGAGCAGTGGGGACTGGAGTTGACACTGGAGCTCACATGGAATGCCAGCATCGCAGGCAGCAGCGTAGCCCATTATACCACAGTGCCAGCCCCAACACTTGATCCTTTTTATGTATTGATTTACAATTGGAAAGGCAAAGTGACACCTTGAACAAGTGAGTTCTGTTGGTAGCTCCTTCATGTGCTGGAAGATCCCCCCAGATGCCTGCAATAAGCCAGGGCTGGACCACGTGGAAGCCAGGTGCTTGGAGTTCCATCCAGGTCTCCTGTAGAGGTGGCAGGGGCCCCAGGACTCAGGCCATCATCTGTTTTCTCCAGGAAGCTGGAGTGGAAGCAAAGCATCTGTGACTAAAGCAGCCATTTCATGCGGAATACCAGCTGAGTGCAGTGTCACTGTGCTACAACACCTGTCTCTCTGTTTTTTCTTTTTGAGCACTGGTGTACTCTCAGTGACCTGGGCTTTTACAATCTGTTTTCTTTGCTGCTGCTGCTGCTTTTTTTTTTTTTAATACAGATTTTAACTTTGTTTCAGTGCTAAAAATTTTTTCTTGGCCAGGTCTGTAAATGCATTGTCACAGTACTATAATTTTAGGTCATCTGAAGAAGCAGGCTAGAGTGCATACTGGTAATGATCACAGATGTGTACAGCGGTCACAGATGATCTGTTCACTGTAGTTCAGCTGACTTGAAAATGGCTCTGCATGAAAGCCAGTCAGTTAAACTCACCTTCAGCAGCTCACGTCGCCATCTTACCATGTGAGATTTATACTTGCATATTGGCCATTGATGTAAATGACATTGTTTATGTGTATATTCATTTTTATATGTATAGTTAAGGTGTACACCATGTTTTGATACACGTAGGTGTGGTGAAATGGTTACTACCGTCAAGTAAGTAAGTAGCATATGTAAGACTGCAGAGTTAGCTTTCTAATGTGTAATGGTAAGAACACCAACATCTGCTCTCTCAGCTGATTTTCCATATGCAGCCCAGTGCTGCTAACGCCATTCCTCATGCTGTATCTTAGGCTTTCTGTCTTAGTCTTCCTATGTAACTGGAAGTTCCCAGTCTCAGATCTACATCTCCCTGTTGTTTCCTTCTCCCTGCCCCAGGTAACCGCCATTCTTTGTTTCTGCACATTCAACATTTGTAGGTTCTAGATTTAAATGAGGTCACATACTGTATTTTTCTTCCTGTGTCTGATTTATTCATTTATTAGCATAATGTCCTCTAGTTGCTTTCATGCTTTTGCAGATGTTAATGACCAGGCAAACCGGGAACCAGGAATTCCACCCTGGTCTCCCCATGGGGGTGGCAGCAGCCTGAGTGTTTGCACCAATACCCTTTGCCTGCCCTGTGCATAGTAAAAGGGAACTAGATCAGAAGCAGAGCAGCAGGACTCAAATCAGCGCTCCCATATGGAATGCTGGCACTGCAAGCAGGAACTTAAGCCATTGCACCGCAGTGCCAACTGTGCATCCTCCCTCCCCTCAGAATCATTGCCTGGGCACCATCCTGTATCTTCTCTTGTTTTCCCTAGTTGTTTCACAGCTTCAGTGTTTGCATTTAGACTTTATTCAGTTTCATGTGCAGTATAAAACATGGGTTCAGGTTCATTCTTTTGCATATGGCTGTTTAGTTTTCTCAACACTGTTCGTTTGAGAGGTTAGCTTGCCCTCTCTGTACCTTTTCAGTGATGTCCCTGAGCGCTTGATTCGGTTTCATTGTGTGCGTGTCTTTTTATACCAATACTTTACTGTTTTGATGACTATCGCTTTACAATATGCAGGAATTGTTGGGGCTGGCATTGTGGCACAGCAAGTTAGACTTCCGCCTTCCGTGCCTAACACCCTGGATAAGTACCAGTTCAAGTCTCAGCTGATCCATTTTCAGTCCAGCTTCCTGCTGATGCACCTTGGAATGCAGTGGAGGTGGCCAAGTGCCTTGGTCCCTGCCAGTGACACAGGAGGCCATGGTGGAGCTCAGCCTTTGGTTTTCTTCCTGATTCATGGTTTCTTGTTTTTCTTACAGTTGTTATGGCTCTCTTTTTCTCACTTATTATTTTTGCTTGATTTTTTTGTTTGTTTTATATTGCTGGGTTTTGATTCCTGTGTGTGTGTGTGTGTGTGTGTGTGTGTAGCTTGTTTAGGCATTTTCTTTATGGTTACCAAAGAGCTTATACAAAGCATCTCAGAATTAAAATAGTTTATTTTAAGCTGGTAGCAGCTTGATTCCCCTGAATATAAGAACTCTCTGTCCTTACCTCTCCTCCTCCCACATATGATATTGTTGTCCATGTTGGCAGCCATTTATAGTAAATGCTGTTAAGATGATTTTTAGCTGTGTTAATACCTTTACTCTGTGTCTTCTAACCTAGAGTTACCGTTGATACCATTGCCATGTCCACCATTATGGTAGTCTTAAAGTATTCTCTTTTTGTTCATGTCTTTAGAGCTGTCTACAGATTTCATACTTGTGCTGTCCTGTTGCTGTTTAACTTAGCATTTCTTATAAAGCAGATCTATATTGATCAACTCGTGCAGATTTTGTGTGTCTGTGAAAGTCTTTACTTCCCCTTGAGTTTTGAAGGACAGGTTGTCTGGTGACAGTTATTTCAGGTTGACACTTGACATTTAGCATGTTGACTATACACTTCAGCCCTTCATGGGTTGCAAAGTTTCTACTGAGAAACCCCCTGACAGTGTCATGAAGATCCTTGTGTATAATAAGTCGTTTTTGTCTTGGCTAGTTTTGAAATTCTGTCACTTTTTTTCAAATGGTCTCACATGGTATCTCTGTGTCTCTGGATTCCTCTTTTTTTTTTTTCATTTTTGTTTTCTGGGTCTAGATTTATGTTTTATTACACAGGCTTAGAAAGTTTTCAACATTATTTAATCAAATAGGCTTTCTGTCCCTTTCTCCCTTACAACATAGCTTGCTATGTGTTATGTGTGTGTGAATATACACACATTGATTTCTTTCTTTTTAGAAGAGGATACAAACAGAAAGATCTTCCATCTGCAGGTTCACTCCCCAAATGACTGCAGTGGTCAGAGATGAGCCGATCCAAAGCCAGGGGCCAGAAGCCTCTTCTAGGTTTCCCACATGGGTGCAGGGTCCCAAGGTCCCTTTGTGCTATCCTGCATTGCATTTCCAGGCCCTAAGGGAACTAGATCAGAAGTAGACACCCATATGAGATGCTAGCATGCACAGGTGGAGAATTAGGCTATTGAGCCATTGTGCAGACCCCATGCACAGGTTTCTATTGATTTATTTATTCCTCATGAATTTGTTCCTTCTTTGGCCTTTGTCTCCAGATTGATGTGATTACCAGTGACCTGTTTTCCAGCTCACTGGTCTTTTTTCTAGTCATTGCAGTCTGCTTCCACACCCCTTTCATTGAACAGTTCAGTTATTGTATTCCTGTGCGGTATAACTGCTGTCTGGAGTGTTTCTGTTTTCTCTTTGGTGAGGTCCTATTCTATGTATTACCCCCTGACCTCCCTGAGCATCTTTATGCCTATCCTTTTGAAATCTCTGCTGGGCAAGTCACATATCTCTATTTCATTGGGGTCAATTTCTGAGGTGTATCTTGTCTGTTTTTCATTTTCTTTGTTCTCTGGTTTCCATGCCTCTTGTTGGTCAGTCCAGACATCCAGAGGTTCCAGGTGCCTCTTAGTCATTTGTGCCTCTTAAATTGCTATCTTTGTGCCTATATCCTGGATTATGACATGGCAAGACCTATTACCACATTGAGCAGGCAAGATAGAATAGTCATTTATCTGTGGACTTCTGTGCTCGTTACATGGTTATTCTGTGAAAATTTATCTGTAAATTTCTATTTCACGTACATACTTCTCTGTTTATCAAACTTCACAGTAGAAAATTGATGGTTCCGCGGGAGGTCTTGAGGAGGAATAGTGACACCAGTTCTTGGTATTACCAATCTCACCTGCACATATTTCTTATCTTACCTAACAGTGAGAGCAAAGGAAAAGAAGGCCCACAAAGCAAGCCCCAGTGAGGAAAGTTATTCCTGCATGGTCATCACTCTCGTAACTTTTCCTTGAGATTTTTTGGTCTCAAAATGGAATTGAATGTCTTTTGTTTGTTTTCAATTAGGAGGTGCTGATGATGCTGGATAACTACGTGAGGGATTTCAAAGCACTGATCGCCTGGATTCAGCTGCAGGAGAAGCTCGAGAAGACAGATGCTCAGAGCAGGTAGTGAGCTCCGGTGTTGGTGTCACTGTGGCCCACAGTCTCAATAGCAAGCAGGCTTTGGAACTGATAATGAATTTGACTCTGAGTTGACTTAAGATTTGTATGGATATAAAAATTAAGTGCTGCATTTCTTTTTTTTGGTAAGATTTATTTATTTTTATTCGAAAGTCAGATATACATAGAGGAGGAGAGACAGAGAGAAAGATTTTCCTTGTGTTGATCTTCTCCTCAAGTGACCACAATGGCCAGAGTAGCGCCTATCTGAAACCAGGAGCCTGGAGCCTCTTTCAGGTCTTCCAGGTGGGTGCAGGGTCTCCAAGGCGTTGGGCCGTCCTCGTCTGCTTTCCCAGGCTACAGGCAGGGAGCTGGATGGGAAGCAGGGCTGCTGGGACATGAACCAGAGCCCCTGTAGGATTCCAGCGTGTGCAAGGCGAGGACTTTAGCTATTAGGCCACTGCGCTGGGCCCAAGTGCTGTATTTCTTATTGACTCAGAAGGAAGTGTTGATTGGGAACCTTCCAGTGTAAAGCACTTTATTTAGTACAGAAATGTAATTCCTGAATATGCCACATTTATTGCTCTCACAGAACTTTTGGCCTTAGAGTGGGACAACATAGAGCTTGTTTCCTAATGCAGGAAGCTGCCTGCGTGTTCAGTAAGTGTGTATTTCCCTTGGAGGATGGATCAGGAGAGACTTCACAGAGGACACAGAAGTGCGATTTGAAGAATGTTATCTGTTTTACCAAGTGGTGGGCCTTTCAGATGAAGCAAATCAATGAATGTGAAATAAACTATGCTTCTTAATGTATTCCTTAGTCAGGATAGCTGGTGAGTTTTGAGGTTGAAGGGTAATGGAGACTGTTGATCTGGTGGGTGCATGACTTGTTAGACCCTTTCTTAAATGATTTGGCCTTTTATTGTTTAAAGCTTTAGGATTTTGACTAAAAGGTTACTTGACTTTTCTTATTATTTAAAAATATCATGTTTTTTTAACGAGGAAAATAAAAAAGATTACAAGCACTAACCTGAATGGAGATTAAGTCTCAAATAAAGCCATGGGAGTGATGGGGATCTGACTGAGCCCGTGGGTAGGGCAGCCAGTGCCCAGAGGAGAGGTCTAGCAGGGGTGGGCATCCTGTCAGTGTGTTGCTGTGGGACCACTCAGGAGGGAGGGGCAGGTAGGTTGCTTTTGTTAGCTTTCTCCTGTCTTTGGGATCCGTAGAGTTCAGTTGCTTTATTGCAGTGAATGGAAAGTCCTAATGCATCATCTTTGTTTTCTCATTTTGAAAAACAGTTTTTAAAAATGTATTTGAAAGGTGGTGTTAGAGAGAGAGAGATATGGGAAAAAAAGAACAAGACTGATCATTTACCTGCTTGTGCTCTACCCCAATTGTGCAACAGATAGGGTAGGCCAGGCTGACGCCAGGAACTCCTTCCCAGCCTCCCACGTGGGTGGCAGAGGCTTAGGTCATTGGGTCTTCTTCTGCTTTTCCTAGGTGAATTAGCAGGGAGCTAGGCTGCAATGGAGTAGCCAGGATGAGGACCTTTGCTAACACAGAATGCTAGCATGGCAGTTGATGGCTTATCTGTTTGTGCCACACTAGCATCCCCTATCGTTGATTTCTCACTGGTACCCTGGTAACTTTCCTGGAAACAACTCTGTAGTGAGCTGGTGATGTTTTGATCCGCTAGCAAGCAAGGAAAGACACTGGTCTGTTCTCTCTGTTAATTTCATTTGCTCTGTGTCTTGAATTGGCAGACCCACTTCCTTGGCCTGGGAAGTAAAGAAGATGTCTCCAGGGCGTCATGTGATTCCAAGTCCATCAACAGACAGGATTAATGTAACCTCAAACGCTCGGAGAAGCTTAAATTTTGGGTGAGTTCAAGTCAAAAAGCTGCTAAAGCTTGCATTCCAGTAAAACATTTTCTTCATATAGTAGAGTATTGTGACGGATACTGCTGTATAAAGTGATGAATGTATTTCTAGCTGTTCAGCAGGATATGGCCCCCATGGGTCACAGGGACAGCAATGTGTATGGATGCAGTCTCATGCGAGGTCTCTAAGTATCTCATACATTTCTGGTGGAGGTGCTGAATCAGGGAGGAGGTTTGGCTAATCCAGTTGCCCAAGTCTGGTTCCAGTGATTGTGCAAGAATCCGGCCCAGCACCTTGATTACCCACAGAGAGATGATGTGAGTCAGTGGAAGCCTGGAACTCAGTTCAGGCAGGTGGTCTTTCCTGCACGTGTCTCACTCCTCCTAATGGTGGAAGGACCCCTGCTTGCTCAGTCCTGGGCCACGTACCCTGGTGCTGATGGGACTGCTGAGCACAGGTGTGGCAGCGCAGCCTGGGAGCCCTTGTTAGTCTGAGCAGCTCCTCTCTTCATCAGGGCCTGGCATTCTCGGTGAATTCCGCCAGAGGGGATAGGGCTGGACTTTCCATGGCCATTCAAGCACTCAAACCATATATATGTTGGAAATTGTAGTAAAATTAAAAACAAATCCAGGAGAGTGAAGTTCAGTTTTTAGGAAATGTAATCTGTTCAAACATGAATTGTAATCCAGTGATTTATTTTTTATGCTGAATTATTAATGATATAAACTAGCAATTTCTTTCACAGCAACACATCCAGTAATACATTATACTTTGTGTTATGGCCATACTGTTTATGTTTGCTTCTGTGGTACAAGTCCATCAGCACAGTTTATGATTTTTGTTTCATATAGTTTCTTGTAAATCAGATCGAAGAGTTATAGACAAACACATTCATACATGAAAACATTTGTAGTGTCTCATCTTTACTTACATAATTTCTCTTTCTAGTCCGTTACTGGCACTCTTTATTTCTTTATGTGGATTCAAATTACTATTTCAGCCTCAAGAACTCCCTTTTGTAGTTTTTGTTGGACAGATCTGTTAGAATCAGATTTTCTCTGTTTTTTAAAAAGCTATATTTATTTGAAAGTCAGAGTTAGAGAGCTCTTGCAGCCACTGGCTTACTCCTGACATGTCCCAGTAGCCAGGACTGTCCCAGACTGAAGCCAGCAGCCAGGAGCTTCATCTGGATCTTTGACATGGATAGCTGGGACCTGAGCACTCCGGCTATTTCCTGCTGCTTTTTCCAGCATGTTGAGGAATATCTTTTTAAAATATGTATTTATCTGTTTGAAAAAGTGGCATGAGAGAGTGAGAGACAAGGAAAGATACAGAGCTAGGCAACAGCAGATACCTGCTCTCTGTGTTTACTCACTAGATGGCTGCGCCAGGCTGAAGCCAAGAATCCCGAACTCCATTTAGACCTCCACCCCACATCTGTGTATCATTGCTCCAAGTCCTATCTTCTGCTCCCTTACCGGGTACATCAGCAGGGAGCTACATTGAAAGCAGTGCCTTGGGGACTCAAATTGGCAGTCTCCTCTGGGATGCCAGCAGCACAGCTGGGCCTCAATCCCCTGCAGCACAATGCTGGTTTTGGTTTTTGAAGAGTGGTTTTGCACTTCATGGCTAGCAGTGTTTATCCTCTGCACCTTGAGCCTCACTTGCTTTTGCCTTTCTGGTTTTGGATGAGAGGTTATCTGTTGAGTGGTCTGTGTGACACATTACTTCTGTCTTCTGAGGGTTCCCAGGGTGCTCTCTGGCTTTCATAGCTTGGCTGTGATGGTCTCAGTGTGGATCTCAGAGTTTATCCCTCTTAGGGTTTATTGAGTCTCTTGTGTGTGTGAATTAATGTGTTCATCAAATTCAGAATGGTTTGGGGTCCTGGCATGATGGCCTAGTGATTAAATCTTCGCTTTGCAACTGCCAGGATCTCATGTAGGTGCTGGTTTGTGTCCTGGATGCTCCACTTTGCATCCAGTCCTCGGACTGTGGCCTGGGGAAGCAGTCAAGGATGGCCCAAGGCCTTGGGGCCCTGAACCCATGTGGGAGGCCTGGGGGAGGTTCCTGGTGCCTGGCTTCAGATTAGTGTAGCTGTGCTATTGTGGTCACTTGGGGTGTGAGCCAATGGACAGAGGATCTTTCTCTCTGGTTCTCCTCCTCTCTGTGTATCTGCCCTTCCAATATAAACACTAAATACATCTTTAAAAATTTTCAGAAAACTTTTAGTCATGACTCCTTTTCATGTTTTTTTAAGAATTATTTTCATTTTATTTGAAACACACAATTATAGAGAAGAGAAGGAGTAGAAAGAGAGAGAGAGAAAAAACTTTGATCCACCATTTCACTCCCTTAATGTCTACAATAGCCAGAACTGGGACAGGCTGAAGTGAGGAACCCAGAACTCAACACATGTAAGCCATGTGGATGGCAGGGACCCAGGTCATACTGTACTTGAGGCATGAGCACCAGCAGGAAGCCGGCTAGGAAGCTGTGACTTGTACAGTGCCCTGTGATATGAGATGTTACCGTCCCACACGATGACTGCAGCACCACACTCCACACGCCCGTCCCATAGCAGCCTGTGCACCTCTGCCTCTTCTTGCCTCTAGAACCTGCTGTAATGTGTCCATACTCTGATGGTATCCTGCAGGTCTCTCGGGCTCTGTTCGCTTCCTTCATGCTTTCTTTCCTTCCCTTCCAGACTAGATAATCTCAACTCATCTTCCCACAAGTGTGCTGATAGTTTATTCTGCCAGATTAAAGTCTCTGGTGAACTCCTGTTGCAAATGTTGTATTGAGTTATTGTGCTCTTCACCTATGGAATGTGCTTCTTTCTCATATTTAATTGTCTGTATTGATGCTGTTCCCTGCACTACTTTGTTGTACATTATTTCTTGAGACCTGTTTCCTTCTCAGTGTGCTTTCATTGTGCAGTCTGTGTGCACTATGCACAGTGTCTGTTGTCCTTCCCGACAGTAAGCCACAGTCTCTTGTCTATTTGCATGTCTCTATGGACTTTGTTGTTGTTCTTCAAAGCTAAACATTTTTTCTAAAATGTGACTGATCAGGTTGTTACTGTGGCTGTAGGTTGTCATTTCTTCAGTGACTTGGTTGAACTAATCATGTGAAGTTTGCACTCTGCTGTATGTAGCCCATAGGAATAGAAGTTTTCTTGCATGCCTTGAACCATGAATCTAAGTCATTGCTGAGTTGTAAGTGTCTGTCAGGGCTCGTTAGCAACACTGTAGTTTACAGAGTACCTTCGCTGTTGCTTTCTTGTCTTTCTTGGGCATGATTGTGTGTGTGTGTGTGTGTGTCTGTGTGTGCGTGTGTGTGTCTGTGTGTGTGTGTGTGTGTAAGTGTAAGAGAGAGAGACATCTTTTTGAACCCAGGAATATGTGAGAGCTTTACAAAGCCTTAGACAGACAATTGCTTCTTCATTGTCCTTTTTGGGTTTTTTGGTTAGCCTTTTGTTTGCCTTAGATATTTTTGTCACCTCTGATAATTGTGAGACTTGGATATTTGTCACAGGAAGGGTATTTGGTGCCACAGTTGTTACTTTATATGTATACATCCTGCATTGGAGTTTCTGAGTAAGACACTAGCTGCTTGAAAACACACCCTACGGGGACAGCGGGACAGTGGGTGTCAGCCCTGGGTTCCTGCCACTCACGTGGGAGACCCAGATGGAGTCCCAGATTCATGGTTTTTGCCAGGCCCAGCTAAACTGTTGAAGACATTTGGAGAGTGAAGCAGTAGAGGATCTTTTATACTCTTGTAAATTAATCAAAATATACAAAATGTTTTTAAAAAATCATCACAGTTGATTTTGGCAAATGCCTCTGGGAAGTTTGATTTTTAGACAGAAATGTGTGTGGATGCTGATTCTTTAGAGTGAATTTTAATAGTTGCTGTGTACTAGACAGATGGAAAGCAGTTTGCTTGGTCAGTTCTCTCTTCCCTTTTAAAGCCACAGTTGGGCTCCTTCTGTCACCTCCATAGCCAGTTAACAACTTTGACCTCAGTTCCTTCCAACTGTTGGAAATAGTAGAATTATTATATTTACAAGGCCTTGCAATTATTTTAATATCTACAAAATATGCTTTTTTCTGTGAGTTTAAAGTACAGCTCTTTGCTATGTTTCTGTATGCAAAATACATGCCACTTTAGTAGAATGCATGTTGTAAAAGCTTATTGTTTGTTCAACAGAATCAAACTTTGGTTTCATGTTTTTTTATGGAGTTATTAAGTATTGTGGCTTTTGAATGTTCATTTTTTTTATCTACTTGAAAGAGTGACAGAAAGATAGGGAGAGAAAGAGAGAGAACAAATCAAGGTCGAGAGGTCTGCTGTCTAATTCACTCCTCAGATGCCTGAAAGGCCAGGCTGAAGCCGGGAATAGGAACTCCATCAGCTCTCTCACATGGCTGGCAGGGCTCCCAGCACCTGGCCATCACCTGCTGCCTTCAGGGATGTGTGAATAGGAAGCTGGATTGGAAGCCGAGGTGCTGGGACTCAAATAAGGGATGGGAGTGTCCCTAACAGCCACTCAACTTCATCTGCCACAGCGTCCATCCCTAAGCAGTACAGTGGTGGTTGGAGACTTCACCACCTAAGTGGGCTTTAAATCAAAGATATGTAAATAAAGAAAAACAAATGCATGTGTATTTGAACACTGTTTTATGGAGCTTGATCTGTCATGTATGTGCATTCCAGTGGACTGTAGTTCGGAATGGTGTATAGGGTGTGTTGTCGCTGCAAGCTTTAATGCAGATGTGGTGGAAGTTCACATACTGATCTTCCTGTTGCTGGCCTGCTGGAGGATCTTGGTAGTCACTGTGAAACATGCCGCTGTTTGTTAGCTTGCTGAACAGTCATGGGCACAGGCTATGTTCAGTATATCTGCTCACTTCTGCTCTTGCTGGTTGAGTTGTGTGTTTACTCTAAATATGTTGGTTTATGCAGGTTATTTTCTTTAGTTTAACTCCTAATTTAAATATGAGTGGAAAAGTATCATTTTTTCTGTGAAAACTAAAACATTTTTTTCTGGAAACTGATAAAAGTAGACTTTTAAAATTGCAGTCAAATAAGTAGCTTAAGTCAACTAACATTTTAGAAAAAATATTAAAATTGGGAGGAATTGGTGCATTATGTTTTAAAGATTTTGCCACTGAATGTATGCTGCAATTTAAGTGAATTGTGATTACATATAGTTAGTGTAACATCATGCCCGTGGCTCATGTAAGAAATGCAGTCCAAGACAGCTCATTTTAACAGTGCCTGTATTAGGAGTGGCAAGTTATTAACATGTAAGTTGATAAATAAAATCAAATTAATTTTTTGAGATTCCTTATGTAAGTATTTTTTTCTTGAAATGAGACTTTTTAAAAATTTGTCATTTTTGAAATTGAAACAACTAAATTTCTACACTCACTTCTTCATTCCCATATATTACATTGTATGAAATTAAGGAAGCCTTAGATCCAGATAAATTTATAATACAGTTGCCTGTAACATGCTGTGGAAGTGTGTTGTTCTACATATATGGGTTCACTCTTAAAGTTCAAAATTCACATGGGTTTAGCATATATGTAAACTCAGGGTTTTTATGTTGAATTCATTTGTGTGTTTAGGGCTTCTCCTGGGACAGTGGCTGCTCCCCGTCTGGCTCCCACGGGTGTCAGCTGGGCAGACAAGGTGAAGGCTCATCACACAGGCTCGACTGCTGCTCCAGATGTGGCCCCTGCCCAGTCTTGCCCACCTGTGACTCTGCAGAAGGCTTCCCGCAAAAATGGCAAGTGGTTTTGAAATACTCTTCTGGTGTAGTAGGCACCTGATTGTATAGTTCTTTATTTTCTTTTAGCTTGGTCCCAGTAGAATTATGTTTATCCTTTTTTGTATTACATGTGTAATATTAATTTACTTTATTCCAAATTGTAAAATAATCTTTATATTTTCAGTCAGCCATTTGGGAAGGGAATCGTCAGATGGAAGCTATGTTTGGCTCTGTCTCTCTCTGTGTATATTTGCCTTTGAAGTAATCAAGACTTGAAAACAGTATGTCTTATGTTGCTTTCAGTTTTTAAATACAGATTGAGTAGTAGGAAATCGCCAGTAGGCAAGGGCTCTTCCTGTTAGAAAAGGTACGAAAACATGCACTCATGCATCTCAGTTTCTGTGTCTTGAAAGTCTGTGACAAATGTGTTCTAAAAATCAAAATTGCAATAGAGGTATCATGTTACAGGGAATATCATAGTATTATTTAAAGCCGGGCTTTTAAATCATTCATGGATAATCCAGAAGATGGAGATAAAGTGATTGCTGTTGACTGTATCTTCGCAGAAATGCATCTTTCTTAGTGAACTGGGACATTTTTCTCGGGCCAGCCTGGTCTTTGGGTGTGGAGTTCGCTGCACTGCTGTGGACAGTGGGTTAGTGATGATTATTAAGTTGGTGATTATGTTCCACACAAAATCCCAAAGATGACTGAGGGACTCTGTGTACTTAACTTACTCTTTTCTGGATACATCTATCATGGTATAAAAGGATTTTTATAAAGCACTTCAGGAAAATGTGACAAGAGAAGGAATGATATAAACACAATTTTGGAAGTTGGATAGGAGAAATTCTTATGGTAATAGAAACAATGTACCTGAGCTACCTGAGCCCTAAGCTCCAGAGAGGGAGCAGGATTGCAAATCAGCCCAATTCCCCCCCCCTCCGCCCAAATTCTTAAAAGTTTCACAATTTGGCGGGATCTGACGTCTCCAGACGTGAGGGTGAACGCAGCAGTGGTACTTGCTAAAGTGTGTGGTCTCATGAATGCTGCCCCTCCCACCTGCACACCTCTGAATAGGAGAATGACTGAGCTCTTGAATCACAGCTGAAGAACAGAGGTTTATTTTCTAGTGATGTTAGAAAAAGATATCTGGTATCTGGCTTGAGAAATACTGGGCACATTGGAAGGTGGGAATAGTTACTATTTTAAGTTTCTCAATTTTTGGCTTGATAGGTAAGAGTTGATAATGGGAGTATATTATAGTATGTTAGAGACTGAGGGATGAAAGTCAGGAGGAAATAATGAATCAGAGAATTAAAGGCAACTTCCTATTACAGGATATAGGTTTCTACATCAAGCAGGCCTAGCAGATATTCAGTGAAAGGAATGAAACAGCATGACAACAAAGCATGTTGGGGAGTGTATGAACACTACCGGTTATGGGAGGGTCTGAATGATTCATAAAGAAAAATGATCAGCAATGAGAATGACCATAACTTTTAGAAAAGTGTCATTAGAAGCCCCAAGACAGTTGAACTGTTTCTAAGATTCTGAAGGGAAATTCTTTCCCAGTCTGTTGTGTTTTGTTATCTGCTACAAATAAGAGTAGATTGAAGATATTTTCAAGCTTATTAGATCTTTAAAAAGGTTTACCTCCCATGAGCCCAGTCACTGTTAGCAGGAAGCAGTACAAAAGATAATCAGAGGTGATCACTCCATATGGACAGTTATCCCAGGATGATAGCTGTGTCCCAGAGCTACAGATGGTGAACCTACTGCTCTGAAGAGAGCAATGCGGGATGGTGAGTGACCTTCTCATCACACATGTTTACACATATCAAAAGATTCAACGTTTTGGGAAGTTGAGGCCTTAGTTCTCACAAGGGCACAGCTGAACGTGGAGTCTAGAAGAGTACGTGTGCAGGATGAAGTTGGAGAAGCAGATTAGAAATTTCCTTCAACTTTTAAGGCATCATCTCAGATTCAAGATGAGCTATAAACCCTAAGAGAGGAAAATGAAGAACTAATCTCATCCCAGTAGAATGTAACAAAAATATTAAGAACTGGAGAAAAAAATCTTCGCAAACAGTCGGGGAGAAAGAAAAGATATTTCCAAAGTAGCGAAAGTGAACAGATGCGTGACTGCACAGCAGAAATGATGGGACCCTGGTAACAGTGGAAAGACATCCTCAGGATGCCCAGAGAAGATAATTGTTAACATCCTTACTTAAACGATTGAAGGTGAAATGATGACAATTCTTGTCAATAAAAGTTGAGAAAATTTTGAGTCAGCAGGCTTGTCCAAGAGGAATATTGTCTGGAGTTTTTCAGATGAGTGAAAACAGTTCTGCATAAAGCAGTGAAGGACACCAGAGGAGGTCACCACACAGGTAACACTAACTGTGTACTTACTCCTGGAGACCTCAGCATCCTGTGAGTCAGACGATGCGTGTTGAATACAGTTTTGACAGTAATATAAAAGATAAGAGAGTAATATATGGGGTTTATTTTTCTGTGGTCTTTGCATTGCTGAGATTTTATGAATGTCTGAAGTGTAATTAGCAGTTTGTAAGACTGCATTCAAAGCAAAGCCCATTGAGTTTTGCTAACAAGATACACATCTTCAATATGAAGACATAGAGAAGTTGAAAGAAAAGACTACATATCTTGTCAAAATTAAAATTGATACTCCTCTAATAACAAAGTAGGCCAGCTACATTTTAAAGGGAGATAATTCTTAATAAGTAAAAGGTCAGTTCAATAAAATTTATAGAAGATCAATTTAACAATAAGATGTCATAATTGTCAGTTTATATATTGTTAGTTATTTAAAGCAGTTTAGAGTTCTAGTTCATAGGATATTACAATATTATTACATGCAGCTAATTCCCGCAACCTGGTTCTTTACCGTGAGCTGAAAACACCAGACACAATGAGGTATCTTAGGAGACTTATTCCAGCGGGACAGGAACCAGGTGGAGGTGTTGGAGAGAAAAGGGGGAAGGGGAGAGGGAGAAGGGAGGCTGGAAGGAGAAGAGAGAGAGAGCTCTACCTGGGAGCCTTTTTGTCTGCAAGGTATTGGGGGCGGGAATTGGGGGCAGGCCCCAGGGGATTGGTGCCTGCAGGTGAATGTCTAGGGATGATTGGTGAGTGGGCAGGGTTGGGGAAGGGGCAGGAAGGTTGGGGGAGGGATTCTCAGGTGGAATGCCAGGTTATATCTGGTTGGGGGATGGAAGAAGGAATGGCGCTGGGTCCAGGGTGGGATATTCAAATAACTCCTTACATATATAGTTAAAGTAATTTGGAAACATGAACCAACTTGCATAATTTATAGGAAAAACAAACAGATCTGCATCACCCTGGGGAATGCTAACATAACTGTGTCAGTAATGGATAATACGAGTAGATAAAAGTCAAGGGAGATGCGGAGTGTTTGAACAGTGTGATTGATGAACTGACATGTTGACAAGCCTGACAAATGATGTGTTGTCTTCTCCATCCTGTTTTCTTTTGGTGCTTCAGTCTGGTTACTTTCAGTTGGTGTTTCTTCTTGTCTACAATTCCCAACTCTTGTGTATTGAATCTGCTAATAAGCTATTATTTGTGATCGAATCTTCATTTGATCATTAATAAATGGCCTCCAGTGCTGGCAGTTTCCATCTTCTCATGCTGAGTGAATTCAGTGATGGCTATTTAAAAACTTCTGTGCTTGAATTACCTGTGAGTTTATGTTAAGAACATTCTTGGTAAGCTTTCAGTTACTTGATCCTTTTTTGGTGTGTTTTGTTTTCAAGTTTGCCTTACAGTTTCTAATTGGATGTTTAGACATTGCATGTTACAAGTTATAGTGCCACCTCTTAAAAATATTTATCTCTTTTTGCCTTTAAAGCAGATCACCCTAATCCTGTCAACATTTGGTTTGAGATGTCGAGGTTGATGTGTTTGAATTTTGTCCTATTCTTTTGGGGTCTCAGCTGTACGTCAGGCTTATTTTCTGGGGCCAGTGCATTCCTGGCTTCAGTTTTGTGTTCCCTCAGTGCTAAACAATTGCTGCACTAGCTGCTGAGCTCATTAGCTTCCCAGCTGTGGCTTTCTGTTGGACTTCTTGGAGTTTTGCCTTGTATATGCAAACTCAGTAGTTGTCAGACTGCTTGAGGGGAGATTGAATGCAGATTTTCTGGCACCCTTTCCTGTAGTTCTCCCAACTTCCTCTAAGATTTTGCTGCTGATGTTGAAGGACTTTCTCAACAAACCGATGTCCAGTGTCTGCTTGAGCTGATCAGGCTGCTGATTCTGCTGGGGCTCCTTCCTGGACTTGAACCTTTCAAACAACCTCCCAGGAGATGTGAGGATGTTATGGTTATCCTTTTTTTTTTTTTTTTCAGGAATTGTAGTCCTTCAGAATTTGCATACCCTGGTTGCTTCCTAAGGCTTTTGAACATTTCATTTGTGTATTGTGTCCAGCTTTTGCTGTTGTTTTGGCAGAAAGGGGGCCGGGTTTGAGGGTATCTGTTTTGTCATGGCGAGAATTGGAAGTGCAAACACATACTTAAGCATAAATGGAACATAGGCCATTACACAAAGCTATCTACACATTTCAGATGATTTAAAGCACTGCTTGTCACTGATCACGGTGGCATTAAATTAGAAATCAATTACAAAAAGATAGCTGTACAATTCCCCAGATTTTGGAACTTTGTGCAATGTTTCTGTATCATCCCTTAAATTACAACGTCACAATGAAAATTAGAAATGAACTGAATGAGAACAGTGAAATCCTATTAGGTTAATGTAAGCTGTGTGCTGGGCTAATTTCCCATCCTTATTTATAAACATTAGAAAAGAGGTTAAGCTAAGATCCATTTTGTGTTCATCTCTTGAAGTTACAAGGGAACAGCAAATTAAGCCCAATAGAAGGACAGAAAATCTGTAGATGAGTGTAGAGAAACTTAACAAAAATGAGAAGTGATTCTTGAAATAGACTAGTAAAATTTCATTTGTGGACCTCTGGTCAA